CACTAAATATCATATTGTTTGTGTTCACTAAGTGTAATATACGTGAATAAACACTGAATAACATATTGTTTGTGTTCACCAAGTGTAATATACATGAATAAACACTGAATATCATATTGATTCTTTTCTGCAATTGTAACATACGTGAAGAAACACTGAATAACATATTGTTTGTGTTCACCAAGTGTAATATACGTGAATAGACACTAAATTTCATATTCTTTGTGTTCACCAAGTGTAATATGCGTATATAAACACTTAATATCATCTTGTTTTTGTCCACTAATTGTAATATAAATGAATAAACACTGAATATCATATTGATTGTGTTCACTAAGTGTAATATACGTGAATAGACACTGAATATCATATTGTTTGTGTTAACCAAGTGTAACATAAAATGAATAAACACTGAATATCATATTGATTGTATTTTCCAAGTGTAATATATGTGAATAAACACTGAAAATAATATTGTTTGTGATGACTAAGAGTAATATACGTGAATAATCACTGAATATCATATTGTTTGTGTTCACCAAGTGTAATATACGTGAATAATCACTGAATATCATATTGTTTGTGTTAACCAAGTATAATATACGTGAATAATCATTGAATATCATATTGTTTGTGTTCACCAAGTGTAATGTACGTGAATGAACACTGAATATCATATTGATTGTGATCACTAAGTGTAATATACGTGAATAAACACAGAATATCATATTGTTTGTCTTCACCAAGTGTAATATACGTGCATAAACACTGAATATCATATTGTTTGTGATCACTAAGTGTAATATACGTGAATAAACACTGAATATCATATTGTTCGTCTTCACCAAGTGTAATATACGTGAATAATCACTGAATATCATATTGTTCGTGTTCACTAAGTGTAATATATGTGAATAAACACTGACTATCATATTTTTTGTGATCACTAAGTCTAATATATGTGAATAAACACTGACTATCATATTGTTTGTGTTCACCAAGTGTTATATACTTGAATAAACACTGAATATCATATTGTTTTTGTTCACTAAGTGTAATATAAGTGAATAAACACTGAATTTCATATTTATTGTGTCCCAAAGTGCAATATACGTGCATAAACACTGAATATCATATTGTTTGTGTTCACTAAGTGTAATATACGTGAATAAACACTGAATAACATATTTTTTGTGTTCACCAAGTGTAATATATATGAATAAACACTGAATATCATATTGATTCTTTTCTGCAATTGTGATATACGTGAATAGACACTGAATATCATATTCTTTGTGTTCACTAAGTGTAATATGCGTATATAAACACTTAATATCATATTGTTTTTGTTGACTAAGTGTAATATAAATGAACAAACACTGAATATCATATTGATTGTGTTCACCATGTGTAATATACGTGAATAAACACTGAATATCATATTGATTGTATTTTCCAAGTGTAATATATGTGAATAAACACTGAATATAATATTGTTTGTGATGACGAAGTATAATATACGTGAATAAACACTGAATATCATATTGATTGTGCTCTCCAAGTGATATATACGTGAAGAAACACTGAATATCATATTGTTTGTCTTCACCAAGTGTAATACATGTATACGTGAATAAACACTGAATATCATATTGTTTGTTTTCACTAAGTGTAATATACGTGAATAAACACTGACTATCATATTGTTTGTGATCACTAAGTGTCATATACGTGCATAAACACAGAATATCATATTGTTTGTCTTCACCAAGTGTAATATACGTGAATAAACTCTGAATATCATATTGATTGTGTTCTCCAAGTGTAATATACGTGAATAATCACTGAATATCATATTGTTTGTGTTCAGTAAGTGTAATATACGTGAATATGCACATGATCCATTTATGCGGAATATGGTGTACGATATATGATGTACGATATATGCTGTACGATATAAGTTGTACGATATATGCTGTATGGCATTTTGTTAAGGCATCTTTTTAATATATCCCGGTGTCAGGGGTTTCCGGCAATGTAAGACAAAAACGTATTTTTTTCACTTAATATCATTTTAAGTATAAATTTTACTAACATTGAATGATAAAGGATATACTTTTCTATTTCACGCAAAAATATCAAGTGTTCCCTGCAAAAATAGCGTTCATGACATTGTATCAGCGAAACTGTTGCCGCTCTCCACATTTTACAGGTATTTTGTATGGGTTTTCGACGATGATCCATACTTTTCGCTCTGCACTGCGAGGGAGTGTTGTGATCACGTGGCTTCCTATTTATATATTACCTGTCACTGGCAGACCACCGATCTCCCTGAAACTTCGCTTGCTTCTTGTTGTTATATAGGCAATTGATTTTGCATCTGAAGTGGTATTAACGATCTCGGGTAAACAATATTGACGTTTGTTTGCTTTTTATATAACTTAACTTCCGGATTTCCATTGTCAAAAGGGGAGAGGTAGGGAGACTGAGTGAGGGGAGAGGTAGGCACCCGCCCAGCCTATGAAACTGCTTGTGCACTCCGATCGTGCACGTACTCCCCCGATATAGCGCGAGCAATGCAATCGTCGAAATTACCAGAACGCCGAATTCAGCTCGCTTTGGGGTATATGGTGTACGATATATGTTGTATGGCATTTGTTAAGGCATCTTTCTTCTATATATGTTGTACGATATATGCTGTACGGAATGTTGTTAGGGCATCTTTCTTCTACATATGGATCTATGTTCGACATATGGTGTACGATATATGTTGTGTGAAGATGGAACAGATGGAGTCGACAAAGTGAAGGTAAAGGAACAAAGTGGAAAGACAAAGTCGACAGATGAAGTCAAAGAGACAAAGTGAAAATCAAAGGAACAAATTAAGTCGATCTCGAGAACTACGTGAATCTCGAAGAAGTAAAGGAAAATCAAAGAGACAAAGGTAAGTCGACAAAGTAAAGATAAAGTCGTCGACAAAATTAAAGTAAAGAACAAAGTGAAGTCGACAAAGTAAAGGGAAAATCGAACAATGAAGATAAAGGAAGATGAAATCAAAGGTAAAATGAAGTCTGGAAAGTCGAACAAAGTGAAGTCAGAACAAAGTCGAAGTCGAACGAAGATGGACAAGTGAAGTGAAATTAAAGAACGTCGAAGTCGTCGGACAAAGTCGAAGTCGATGAAGTCGACAAAGTCGTCGAAAGTCGGGAACAGGAAGTCGAAGTCGGAGACAAAGTCGTCGTCGAAGACAAGTGAAAGGTCGAAGATCTGGAAAGTCCGGAGACTGAGAGTCGGACTAGGTGAGGGGAGAGGTAAGGGAGACTGGGTGAGGGGAGGTAAGGTAAGGGAGGACTGGGTCGGAGGTGAGGGGAGAGAGAGTGGGGAGACTGAGTGAGTGGGGGAGAAGGGAGACTGAGTGAGGGAGAGGTAGGGAGACTGAGTGAGTGGAGTGGAGGAGTTAGGGAGACTGAGTGAGTGGAGAGGTAGTGAGGCTGAGTGAGTGGAGAGGTAGGGAGACTGAGTGAGTGGAGAGGTAGGGAGGCTGAGTGAGTGGAGAGTTATGGAGTCTGAGTGAGTGGAGAGGTATTGAGGCTGAGTGAGTTGTGAGTTAGGGAGGCTGAGTGTGTAGAGAGGTAAGGAGACTGGGTTAGTGGAGAGGTACGAAGGCTGAGTGAGGGGAGAGGATGGCAGTCTAACACTAACACCTGTCAATGGGATAACACTTCACACATTTTCGGTCAATGGGAAAACACACGTCACACCTTTCGGGTCATTGTGATAACACACGTCACACATTTCCGGTCAATGGGAAAACACACGTCACATATTACCATGTCACCGATATAGAGTGACATGTATTGAACCAAGCCTTTTTTTTGTCACCGTGAACCTTTGTTATAAGGATTATGTAATTTGCTCACAAAAAAATCCTCAATATTGATTCATATCGTGCTTCGGTTCAAATAGATCGTTCTCTTCTTTGTACATTTATGATATAATATAATCCCAGGAAGCCGGATAGTGGAGTTGATGGCCAAGCTGCACATTAGGTAACTATCATATTATCCTGGATTATATTAGTAACATGATTGTCGTCAACAGCTACATTCCTTTACCAATCTAGTTGAGGAATTAAGTGTTTCCCACAATATAATGAATAACTGAACGTGGTGCCATTACAGTGAAGCTAAGTGCCTCATGATTGCCCAGCCAAATTGTTAAAGCGCGTTGTCAAATACTTTCTAGCCTTTTTCACGCTATACGATTACTTGGGAGAGTTTAGGCGAATTGCTATCAGTACACAAGTCAATAAAATAAACATTTCCGTAATGGAATCTGATAAATCTTTAAAGCTAACAATTGTCTATCAATTACAATTATTTCGAGAGAGCAACTTCACTATTGATTTGTTGGCTGCCGACTCCACGAGACAATACCGTTTCATTTCCGCACTCAAACCCCACGTATTCCGTCACTTGGCGTAACATGTGCTTAAACCTTGTCTTCAAAGACAGGCGCCATCGGCTATACAATAACATGGGCGATACCACGGCAAATAACACCGAACTGCCATGCATCATTGATTCCACACTGAACCAGGGAGACTTGCAGCCAAATATTTGTTGCATCCTTTTAACAATAATTCTGTTATGCTGTGATTTTGTTTTAAGCGAATTCTGTATGAAAGCTTTTGGATGAACACATATACGTTGTTCTGTGTCTAGTCCTATATCATGCTCTGTGTCTGGTCCTATATCATGCTCTGTCTCTGGTCCTATATCATGCTCTGTGTCTGGTCCTATGTCATGCTCTGTGTCTGGTACAATATCATGCTCTGTGTCTGGTCCAGTGGCTTGCTCTGTGTCCGGTCCTATATCAAGCCCTCTGTCTGGTCCTACATCAAGCTCTGTGTCTTGTCCTATATCATGCTCTGTGTCTGGTCCTATATCATGCTCTGTGTCTTGTCCTATATCATGCTCTGTCTCTATTCCTATATCATGCTATGTGTCTTGTCCTATAGCATGCCCTGTCTCTGGTCCTATATCATGCTCTGTGTTTGGTCCTATAGCATGCTCTGTGTCCCTGTTAGTGTGGGATGTTATAGCACGAGCTGGGTCTAATCCTATAGCACCCCCTGTGTCGAATCCTGTAGCACTCCCTGTGTCTAATCCTGTAGCACTCATTGTGTCTGATCCTGTAGCACTCCCTGTGTCTAATCCTGTAGCACTCCCTGTGTCTAATCCTGTAGCACTCGCTGTGTCTGATCCTGTAGGACTCCCTGTGTCTAATCCTGTAGCACTCCCTGTGTCTAATCCTGTAGCACTCGCTGTGTCTGATCCTGTAGGACTCCCTGTGTCTGATCCTGTAGCACTCCCTGTGTCTAATCCTGTAGCACTCCCTGTGTCTAATCCTGTAGCACTCGCTGTGTCTAATCCTGTAGCACCCCCTGTGTCTAATCCTGTAGCACTCGCTGTGTCTAATCCTGTAGCACTCCATGTGTCTAATCCTGTAGCACTCCCTGTGTCTAATCCTGTAGCACTCCCTCTGTCTGATCCTGTAGCACTCCCTGTGTCTTATCCTGTAGCACTCCATGTGTCTAATCCTGTAGCACTCCCTGTGTCTCATCCTGTAGCACTCCCTGTGTCTGATCCTGTAGCACTCCCTGTGTCTGATCCTGTAGCACTCCCTGTGTCTCATCCTGTAGCACTCCCTGTGTCTCATCCTGTAGCACTCCCTGTGTCTCATCCTGTAGCACTCCCTGTGTCTGATCCTGTAGCACTCCCTGTGTCTAATCCTGTAGCACTCCCTGTGTCTAATCCTGTAGCACTCCCTGTGTCTCATCCTGTAGCACTCCCTGTGTCTACTCCTGTACCACTCCATGTGTCTGATCCTGTAGCACTCCCTGTGTCTAATCATGTAACAACATTCCCTGTGTCTAATTCTGTAGCACTCGCTGTGTCTAATCCTGTAGCACTCCATGTGTCTGATCCTGTAGCACTCCCTGTGTCTAATCCTGTAGCACTCCATGTGTCTGATGCTGTAGCACTCCCTGTGTCTAATCATGTAACAACATTCCCTGTGTCTAATTCTGTAGCACTCCCTGTGTCTAATCCTGTAGCACTCCCTGTGTCTAATCCTGTAGCACTCCCTGTGTCTAATCCTGTAGCACTCCCTGTGTCTAATCCTGTAGCACTCCATGTGTCTAATCATGTAACAACATTCCCTGTGTCTAATTCTGTAGCACTCGCTGTGTCTAATCCTGTAGCACTCCATGTGTCTGATCCTGTAGCACTCCCTGTGTCTAATCATGTAACAACATTCCCTGTGTCTAATTCTGTAGCGCTCCCTGTGTCTAATCCTGTAGCACTCCCTGTGTCTAATCCTGTAGCACTCCATGTGTCTAATCCTGTAGCACTCCCTGTGTCTAATCCTGTAGCACTCCATGTGTCTAATCCTGTAGCACTCCCTGTGTCTAATCCTGTAGCCCTCCCAGTGTCTAATCCTGTAACGCTCCCTGTGTCTAATTCTGTAGCACTCCCTGTGTCTAATCCTGTAGCACTCCCTGTGTCTAATCCTGTAGCACTCTCTATGTTTAATCCTGTAGCACTCCCTGTGTCTGATCCTATATCACCCCGTGTGTCTAATCCTGTAGCACTCACTGTGTCTAATCCTGTAGCACTCTCTGTGTCTAATCATGTAGCACTCCCTGTGTCTAATCATGTAGCACTCCCTGTGTCTCATCCTCTAGCACTCCCTAAGTCTAATCATGTAGCACTCCCTCTGTCTAATCCTATAGCACCCCCTGTGTCTAATCCTGTAGCACTCACTGTGTCTAATCCTGTAGCCCTCCCTGTGTCTAATCCTATAGCACTCCCTGTGTCTAATCCTATAGCACTCCCTGTGTCTAATCCTGTAGCACTCCCTGTGTCTGAATCCTGTAGCACTCCCTGTGTCTGATCCTGTAGCAATCCCTGTGTCCAATTCTGTAGCACTCCCTCTGTCTAATCCTGTAGCACTCCCTGTGTCTGATCCTGTAGCACTCCCTGTGTCTCATCCTGTAGCACTCCCTGTGTCTAATCCTGTAGCACTCCCTGTGTCTGATCCTGTAGCACTCCCTGTGTCTGATCCTGTAGCACTCACTGTGTCTAATCCTGTAGCACTCCCTGTGTCTCATCCTGTAGCACTCACTGTGTCTCATCCTGCAGCACTCCCTGTGTCTCTTCCTGTTGCACTCCCTGTGTCTCATCCTTTTGCACTCCCTGTGTCTATCCCTTTAGCACTCCCTCTGTCTAATCCTGTAGCACTCCCTGTGTCTCATCCTGTAGCACTCCCTGTGTCTGATCCTGTAGCACTCCCTGTGTCTCATCCTGTTGCACTCCATGTGTCTCATCCTGTTGCACTCCCTGTGTCTAATCCTGTAGCACTCCCTGTGTCTCATCCTGTAGCACTCACTGTGTCTCATCCTGCAGCACTCCCTGTGTCTCTTCCTGTTGCACTCCCTGTGTCTCATCCTTTTGCACTCCCTGTGTCTATCCCTTTAGCACTCCCTCTGTCTAATCCTGTAGCACTCCCCCTGTCTATTCCTGTAGCACTCCCTGTTTCTAATCCTGTAGCACTCCCTGTGTCTGATCCTTTATCTCGCATTGTATCTCTCCCTATAGCAGACCTTGCTTTGTCTGTCAGGTCCCAAAGTAGTCCACAATGTTCTATACACATCAGCCTCTGTGTATCGCAGTAAACAAAAACTATACACATAAGTCTCTGTTTATCGCCATCAACAAAATCTATACACATCAGTCTCTGTGTATCACAATAAACAAAACTACAGACCTCAGTCTCTGTGTATCGCAATAAACAAAAACTATACACATCAGTCTCTGTTTATCGCCATCAACAAAATCTATACACATCAGTCTCTGTGTATCGCCATCAACAAAATCTATACACATCAGCCTCTGTTTATCTCAATAAACAAAATCTATACACATCAGTCTCTGTGTATCGCAATAAACAAAAACTACAGACCTCAGTCTCTGTGTATGGCAATAAACAAAAACTACAGACCTCAGTCTCTGTGTATCACAATAAAAAAAGACTATACACATCAGTCTCTGTTTATCGCAATAAACAAAAACTACAGACCTCAGTCTCTGTGTATCGCAATAAACAAAAACTACAGACCTCAGTCTCTGTTTATCGCCATCAACAAAATCTATACACATCAGTCTCTGTGTATCGCAATAAACAAAATCTATACACATCAGTCTCTGTGTATCACAATAAAAAAAGACTATACACATCAGTCTCTGTTTATCGCAATAAACAAAAACTACAGACCTCAGTCTCTGTGTATCGCAATAAACAAAAACTACAGACCTCAGTCTCTGTTTATCGCCATCAACAAAATCTATACACATCAGTCTGTGTGTATCGCAATAAACAAAATCTATACACATCAGTCTCTGTGTATCGCAGTAAACAAAAACTATACACATCAGTCTCTGTGTATCACAATAAACAAAAACTACAGACCTCAGTCTCTGTGTATCGCATTAAAAAAAAACTATAGACATCAGTCTCTGTGTATCGCAATAAACAAACACTATACACATCAGTCTCTGTGTATCACAATAAACAAAAACTACAGACCTCAGTCTCTGTGTATCGCAATAAACAAAAACTATACACATCAGTCTCTGTGTATCGCAATAAACAAAATCTATACACATCAGTCTCTGTGTATCGCCATCAACAAAATCTATACACGTCAGTCTCTGTTTATCGCCATCAACAAAATCTATAGACATCACTCTCTGTGTATCGCAGTAAACAAAAACTATACACATCAGTCTCTGTGTATCACAATAAACAAAAACTATACACATCAGTCTATGTTTATCGCAATAAACAAAAACTATACACCTCAGTCTCTGTGTATCACAATAAACAAAAACTACAGACCTCAGTCTCTGTGTATCGCATTAAAAACTATAGACATCAGTCTCTGTGTATCGCAATAAACAAAAACTACAGACCTCAGTCTCTGTGTATCGCAATACACAAAAACTATACACATCAGTCTCTGTGTATCGCCATCAACAAAATCTATACACATCAGTCTCTGTGTATCGCCATCAACAAAATCTACACAAATCAGCCTCTGTTTATCGCAATAAACAAAATCTATACACATCAGTCTCTGTGTATCGTAATAAACAAAATCTATACACATCAGTCTCTGTGTATGGCAGTAAACTAAAACTATACACATCAGTCTATTCATCGCCATAAACAAAATCTATACACATCAGTCTCTGTGCATCGCAATAAACAAAATCTATAAACATCAGTCTCTGTTTATCGCAATAAACAAAATCTATAGACATCACTCTCTGTGTATCGCAATAAACAAAAACTACAGACCTCAGTCTCTGTTTATCGCCATAAACAAAATCTATACACATCAGTCTCTGTGTATCGCAATGAACAAAATCTATACACATCAGTCTCTGTTTATCGCAGTAAACGAAAACTATACACATCACTTTCTGTGTATCGCAATAAACAAAAACTACAGACCTCAGTCTCTGTGTATCGCAATAAACAAAAACTATACACGTCAGTCTCTGTGTATCGCAATAAAGAAACTCTATACTCATTAGTCTCTGTGTATCGCAATAAACAAAATCTATAAACATCAGTCTCTTTGTATCACAATAAACAAAAATCTATACACATCAGTCTCTGTGTATCGCAATAGACAAAATCTACAGACCTCAGTCTCTGTGTATCGCAATAAACAAAATCTATACACATCAGTCTGTGTGTACTACAATAAACAAAATCTATACACATCAGTCTCTGTGTATCGCAATAAACAAAATCTACAGACCTCCGTCTCTGTGTATCGCAATAGACAAAATCTACACACATCAGTCTCTCTTTATCGCCATGAACAAAATCTATACACATCAGTCTCTGTTTATCGCCATAAACAAAATCTATACACATTAGTCTCTGTTTATCGCAATAAACAAAAACTATACACATCAGTCTCTGTGTATCGCAATAAACAAACACTATACACATCAGTCTCTGTAATTTCAACATAATAAAACTATACTCCTCAGTTTCTGTGATTTCAACATAATATAACTATACTCCTCAGTTTCTGTGATTTCAACATAATATAACTATACTCCTCAGTTTCTGTGATTTCAACATAATATAACTATTCACCTCAGTCTCTGTGATTTCAACATAATTTAACTTCACACCTCAGTCTCTGTGATTTCAACATAATATAGCTTCACACCTCAGTCTCTGTGATTCAAGATAATATAACTACACACCTCAGTCTCTGTGATTTCAACATAATATAACTTCACACCTCAGTCTCTGTGATTTCAACATAATATAACTATATACCTCAGTTTCTGTGATTTCAACATAATATAACTATTCACCTCAGTCTCTGTGATTTCAACATAATATAACTTCACACCTCAGTCTCTGTGATTCAACATAATATAACTTCACACCTCAGTCTCTGTG